AGTTGTTACAGTCTGTGCAGTCCCCCTTCTTAAAGAGGGGGACCACCAGGACATCCTTCCAATCCTGCAGAACCCGTCCAGTGGTCCGTACTGTTGTTATGATGTAATATAGGGCAGTCTGTGCACAAACGCCACCCTCCCTCAGCATTTCGCTTGGGAGATTATCTCTGCCCGCTGCCTTTCCTGGTCTCAGACTCCGGATCGCCTTCAGTACTTCCTCAACAGATGGCACCTCAGCCAGCCACTCACAGGGGGTGACTTCTTCCAATATTTGAGGCACCGCAGACTCAACCGGGTCATCCTCACTTTGTGCCACGATGTTTTCCTGGCTGAGGGATTTTCCCTCCCCCAGGACCTCACAGAAATGCTCAGCAAATCTTCAAACCTGTTCCTGGGGGTCGGAGATTGGATCACTGTTTTTTTCCCTAATGATGGTAATAGGTGTGGCGCTGCGGGTTACTTTTTTGATGGAGTTAAATAGATATTTGTGATCACGGGCCACTGAGGCAGACTCCATCTCCTCAGCAACCCGCGACCACCACCCATCCTTGCAGCACCTCACGGCTCTCCGAACCTCCGAGTGAAGGCTGCGGTAAGCCTCCTCATTCTCTGACGTGGGATTCTGTAGCCGATGACAGTGGGCCTGTCGCTTTTTCACAACCATCCTGAACACCTCCTCTGTCAGCCAGGGTCTCTGGGGAGGTCTGGACCGCGTACCCAAAGCAGCCATTGCAGCTGCATGAGTCGGGGACGATGCCCTATCCCGGCCGCAAGCGATGATGAAATTCTCGCTTGCAACTTTCATCAGATAACTGAGACCAGGCCACTTTAGGTTGGAATGGGGTCCAGGGTGTACACCCACCACCGGAGTGGAAGAATGGCAGGCGCATCTTACAGATGACTAGTCGATGGTCAGAGGGCAGATCAGCTCCACGGTAGGTCCTGGTGTCAAGGACATGGGCTCGCATCCGCTGGTCCGTGACTATGTAGTCCAGCAGATGTTCTTGCTTGGACCCGGTGTGCATCCATGATGTTGTGTGGATGCGCCGATGCCGGAACAGCGTGTTGGAAATTACAAGCCCATGGGCTGCACAAACATCTAGCAGCCTCCTACCGTTGTTATTGAGCTGATCTGGCCCATGCCCTCCAATCACTCCAGACCAGGTGCCAGCATCATGACCAACTCGGGCATTGAAGTCACCCAACAGGATGACTCTATCCCGAGGGGCCACTTTAGCCAGCACCTGTGACAGGTCATAGAAGGCATCTGACTCATCGGCTTTGCCTGCATCCCTCCACGACCACCATTCCTCGCCTCCGATGGGAAGGCGAGCCCAAAGTAGCCTGGGGCTTACAGCTTCCCACACCTCACCGCCACGCTCCCACGCCCCCTTCATTCTTTTGTTCAAAAGAAGAGCCACACCCTGTTGTTTAGCAGTCTGCTGCCCCGAGTAGAGGACTGTCCACCCCTCATGGTGGCAGGAGCCAGAACTGGTCCACCGGACCTCCTGAATGCCACAGAGATCCAGGCGGTACCGGTCCAGCTCCCGACAGAGGAGTGGCAGCCTCTCCTCCGCAGTGAGCATTCGAACATTCCACGTGGCCACCCGCAGTGGTTTTTCATTGTTTCTGGAGGAGCCCCGAGGGTAGATATTCAATCTCCTGGCTCCACCAATTGGGGTTTGGCCAGGAGACGTCATAGACGCTTGGCCCCCCGGGGCCTCCGGCACAAGCTTATTAGTTATATACTTAATTCGCGGTTTAGTGGTAAGTAATTGAAGGTGGAGGGTTTACCAGCCCCTCGCACCCATCCAGAGCCCCCGTTTAGCCCCTGTGGTGGACACAGATGCCATGAGGGGAGGAGCCAATCGAAATTGGAACTCCCCCCACAGCACTGTCCACGACAGAGTTGCCCACCCGGCACCGCGAGGAGGTAGGGGGTTGTTTTGCCGGACACAAAAGAACCCCCGCTACCTCCTCACACAGACACACACACAGACAACGCTAACCCCTACACTACAATGCGTTACGCTTCCACACTCACACACACACAGATACACACAGATACAGACATACACACACATACACACACACACAGACAACGCTAATCACTACACTACAATGCGTTACGCTTCCACACTCACACACACACAGATACAGACACACACAGACATACACACAGATACACACACAGACACACAGACAACGCTAACTGCTACACTACAACGCGTTACGCTTCCACGTGCGAGGGTCACGTGACAGATGTGACGTCACAGCTCACTTGCCGTGCAAAAAAATCTCCGCATTATTGAGCTCCCCCCCCACCCCCCCCAAAACAAAAGTGTATTTTTATAATTGTTTGCATGGTGTACAGTCTGGAAAGTACCCACATGGCAAATGTCAAGTTTGCTGCGTGTCGGGAAGTACGCCAAACAATTTGAACAGACACACATCACAATCACAACCTTGCCTTTGATACATGTGGACAAAACCTTGGATTTGCGAGCAATAATTCGTTCCGGCAACGTGCTTGTAATCCAAAGCGCTCGTGCATCGGTTGTGATCACGTGACGCTCGGCAGTACAAAGCGTGTCTACACGCTTTGTACTGCTGCTGCTCGTGTTGCTAAGGCCCTCGCTCGTTTATGAAGTTAATATTCACTTACAAATTTCTCACCTTATTCGTGGTTCTTTTCGGTAAAGTCGCCACGTAGAAAGGAAACAATAAAATGACGAAAATATTCTCACGACGCTTCGACTGCAACACAAGCAATCGTCATCAGGTGTGAAAACCACAGCAAGAAAATGACAAAAATTCTTGCCGTGGTTTTTTTCAAATTTTCTTGCTGTGGTTTTCACACCTGATGATGATTGCTTCTTGTGTTGCAGTCGAAACGTCATGAGAATTTTATTGTTTCATATTTTTATTAATTATTTTATTGTTTCCCTTCTACGTGGCGGTGACTTTACCGAAAGAACCAAGAACGTGAATCCCTGCAGTCACGAAAGCTTTAAATCAAAATGTCTCTCTTGCCCACTTCAGCAATTTGTTTCTTGCTGCGGTCGTCCCCGCCTGATGATGGACGCTTGTGTCGCGACCGAAACGTCGCGATTTAATTCATTAAATTGTATTTTGTCGCGCTGCCTTTGACACCGATTGGCCTACACCAGCGACACTGTCAGTGGACCAGATAACAACGGCACTTCGATAGTGCACAGTGAGGTCCCCCGTGTCGCAGCCGCTCACCCGCAGCTATGAGTGCCCCCGAGGGTGGCGTCGTCTTTGTGCTGCTCGCCTCGGGGGCTAACGCTGTTAGTGAGACCGGGCTCGAAAGAAAAGCTGTCTCTGGTGTGGACCAATCGGTTTCAAGGGACAACGCAGCATCATCATCATCATCATCGTACCATCGGAGGCAGTGTTGTTTCATGTCTGCATGCTCGCCGCAAGTACCGCGCGGTTAACGCAGCGACACGATTCCTTGAAAAAAGGGGATTCCGTTTGGTGTCTTTGAAGTCTAAAACGCAGCTCTTGCTTGCGGGTGAAAAAAAAACAACCTCTTGCTCTTATTTTGATACTGGCAAGGAATGTCCCACACAGCGGCCCCGACTTGTTGGGCAACCCCAAGGGGCAAGGACACCACGCGGGGGAATCATCGCCTCCTGCTGTGAGGCGACCGCACGCACGAAGACAACGATCCACCCACCCACCCCCGCGTGTCGCCTGGAACAGATTGTTGGGGCACGTGGCTGTTGTCGCCGGAGCGGCTATGGCGGCAGGAACAGCGCACGGCGAGATTGGCGATGTTTACTACACACCGCGGCAGGTGCTAATTTGAGGCCGAGTCGACCTAGGGGAGACCCAGGACCGGTTCAGATAATCGCCACTGGTGCTGGCTATACTGGGCAGAGGAGCGACGCTCACAACAACGAGCGGAGCGCCGGGCGGCTAAAGCGCAGCAGGTCGGCACAGTAAGGGGGGGTACAGGTGGTGGTGCATCGGCCACTCGTCTCAGTCAGTCGACCCGTGGCACCTGCTGGGTCTGCCCCGTGACCTCCTGCCAGCGGGCGTCCGACGCTTCACGTGTGGCCTCAACGTGCACCTAGCCTGGCACGAGCGCCGTGGTGACGTCACCGCCGCTTAGTGGCGGATGGCGGTTGTTGTAGTGGATAGCGCTTCGCTATTAACCTGGCGACCCGGGTTTGAGTCCTACTCACGGCCGACACGCAGTGCCAATTATCTCAGCTGGTCCTGGGCCCCCCTAGGTCGACTCAGCATCAAATGAGTGCCCGGTGCGGTGTGTGTAGTGAACATCGCCACTGGGGAGACAAAGGCGGCCGGGCGTGGTGCTGGCCACCCACCCCCTCATGTGCCACAGTGCCGGCCTTCATAGGCGCTGCTACTCGCTAACAGCGCTTTGCCTTCGTGTCTGACACTGGGTGTCGTCTTTGTCTTTGTTTGTCTTCGTGTCTGTAACAGCTCTTGCCCCAAATGTCTGCTAAGGCTACACGGGGGATCTTTGTCTTTGTCCCCATGTGTCGTGTCCCCGGGTGCCTCTGTATGTCCCCGTGTCTCCCCGTGTGTCCCCGTTTGTCCCCGCTTGTCCCCACATGTCCCCCGTGTCTCCCTGCGTGTCCCCGCGTGTCCCCGCGTCTCCCCCGTTTGTCCCCGTGTCTCTCCGCTTGTCCCCACGTGCCCCCCGTGTGTCCTCGCTTGTCCTCGCGTATCCCCCGTGTGTCCCTGCTTGTCCCCGTGTTTCCCCGCTTGTCCCCCGTGTCTCCCCGCGTGTCCCCCATGTCTCCCCGCGTGTCCCCAGGTCTCCCCACGTGTCCCCGTGTCTCCCTGCGTGTCTCCCCGTGTCTCCCTGCATGTCCCCGCGTGTCCCCCACGTGTCCCCGCGTGTCCCCCGCGTGTCTCCCCACGTGTCCCCGCGTCTCCCCGCGTGTCCCCGCGTGTCCCAGCGTGTCTCCCCGCGTGTCCCCCCGCGTGTCCCCCCGCGGTACCAGGGTGAGCCAGCAGCGAGTCCAACTCCTCCTTGGCCACCACCATCCTGAGCCGGTCGCTGCTGTCCACCACAAAGATGACAGCCTGGGCCTCCCTGCGCACAAAGACAAAATCCCCCCCACCTCGTGTAGCCTTCACAGACTGTGATGGGGGCAAGTGGCTCTTAGTAGCGAGCAGCAGCAGCAGTGCCTATGAAGCAGGGCTGAACGATTTGGGGGGAAAATATCAAATTGCGATTTTTTTTGTTCTGACAGACGTTGCGATTTTTTTTAAAAGCCGACTCTCTGTGTTGTACTGCATTACATTTCTAAGTTTGCTACGTTTTGATTTCTCATTCATTCGTACCCGGTGACGATTGCTCGTGTTGCCATCGAAGCGTCGTATTTTTTTATTATGTTAATTTATTTTCCTGCGGCCACGCAAGCTCCAAATCAAGTTTGAATGTTTTTAAAAGGTCGAGCTCCAGTTGAATAGTCGCTGCCCAAATCGATTTCAAACGCGTGATGGAGCAATTGCCACGTGGCACCACCGACATCGTGAACCGCTCCCTACACGTTCTAATGCAAGGATGAGAACTTCAGAGAAGAATTGCTTCCGAAATGTATTTATTTATTCACTAATTTTTTTTAATTGAAATAAAAACAGTCAAACATGGAACAACTGTTATGTTAAATAAATTTATTATAATAGTAGTAAATACTAAATTCCAATAAGAAAGCAATAGGGACTTTCCAAATCGCAAAAAAAACCGCAGCCGATTTGCGATTTGGTCACCGCATTGTTTAAAAATGGGATTTCGATTTGCTAATCGATTTATCGTTCAGCCCTACAATGAAGGCTTCCGGCACTCTGGCAACACAGAGGGGGTGTTTACTACACTGCCTCACTACCAGGTACTCATTTGACGCTGAGTCGACCTAGGGGAGGCCCAGGAGCGGTTCAGATAATCGTCACTGGTGGTGTTGGCCGTGAGCGGGAATTGAACTCGGGTCACTGGATTCATAGCGCAGCGTAGCGCTAACCGCTACACCACCGCTCCCCACACATACAAACACTCACACACACACAGAGACACACACACACTCAGACATACATTCACACAGGCACACACACTCACACAGACACACTCACACAGACACACACACTCACACAGACACACACACACTCACACAGACAACAACAACAACAACCGCCATTCGCCACTAAGTGGCGGTGACGTCACCACGACGCTTGTGCCAGGCTATGTGCACCCTGAGGCCACGTGAAGTGTCGAACGCCCGCTGGCAGGAGGTCACGGGGCAGACCCAGGTGCCACGGGTCGACTGACTGAGATGACTGGCTGATGCACCACCTGTGCCCCCTACTGTGCCAACCTGCTGTGCTTTAGCCACCCGGCGCTCCGCTCGCTGTTGTGAGCGTCGCTCCTCCGCCCTCCGTTGTTGTTGGAGGGCGACTGCCTCCAACTGCCCAGTAGCATCCTTCACGAGCCTCCTCCACAGAGGCCGATCTTGACACCGCTGGTACCAGTCATCGGCAAGTCCACTCAGCTCCACGTCCTCCTGTATCACATCACTCCATCTCTTCTCTAGCCCGTGCCGCGCCCGCTTAGCCCCCTCAATCCGGCCAAACAAAAGCTGTTTCGGCATGCGGTGGCTGGGCATGCGGGCTACATGACCCAGCCATCGCAGCCTTGCCTGCCGGAGGAGCTCACCGATGGGACCCTGCCCAGATCTTTCAAGGATTTGTGAGCTCCTCACACAATCCAGTCTGGTTAAACCCAGGATGGATCGTAGGCAGGTCAGCCTAAATGTTTCTAACCGGCGAAGATGTTCCATTAGGGGGGTCCACGTTTCGCAAGCGTAGAGAAGGGAGGGAATGACCGTGGCCGAGAAGACCTGAAGCTTAGTGCGGAGCGACAGACCAGGTAGCTTCCACACAGCGTTACGCAACCGATGAAAAGATATTGCCGCTCGACTGATTCGGAGTGAGACCTCTGCTGTTAAACTGGAGCCAGTCATAAGCACACTGCCCAGGTATGGGAAACTCTCCACTCTCTCCACAACTGCCCCATCACCGATTGGGAGTTGTGGGGGTGGAGTGTCCGATGGTACAAAATACCCAGGCAGGTGCTTAGTTTTGGTGGGGCTGATGTTAAGGCCCCACCTCTTAGTGGCACGCTCCAGTCTCAGCAGCAGCGTCTCCAACTCCTCCTCTGACTGAGCAGCTATTACCAAGTCATCAGCATACATAACGTGGTTGAGCAATAGGGAGCCATCCCTTGACCGCACCCGGGCATCGATTAGCCTCCCATTATATCTGTACCATATGGAGATTCCCCCGGTACAGCTATTGAAGGCTTCACGAACTACGTGGTCAAAATAGATGTTAAATAATGTGGGAGCCAGAGGACATCCCTGTCGCACCCCAAGGTGTACAGGGAATGGCTCTGACTCCCGGCCACGTAGTTTTACCCGGGCCCGCTCACCATCATGAAGGTCCTTAATGATCGTGAGCAGAGGGTCAGGTACTCCAAAAGCACGAAGAACGACCCAGAGCCCAGGCCTACTGATGGTATCATAGGCCTTGACCAGGTCAATAAAGCAGAGATGTAGGTCTTGTTGGAATTCCCTACACCTCTGCTGTAGCAGACGGACAGAAAATATGGCATCTGTGCAGGACCGCCCTTTCCTGAAACCGCATTGGGGCTCCGCAAGCCTCTCCTCAGCGTGCCTGGCAAGGCGATGCTGAATAATCCTTGCCAGGACCTTTCCCGGCACACTGAGGAGTGAGATGCCCCTGTAGTTGTTACAGTCTGTGCGGTCCCCCTTCTTAAAAAGGGGGACCACCAGGGCATCCTTCCAATCCTGCGGAACCCGTCCAGTGGTCCAGACTGTTGTTATGATGTCATATAGGGCAGTCTGTGCACAAACGCCACCCTCCCTCAGCATTTCGCTTGGGAGATCATCTCTGCCCGCTGCCTTTCCTGGTCTCAGACTCCGGATCGCCTTCAATACTTCCTCAGCAGATGGCACCTCAGCCAGCCACTCACAGGGGGTGACTTCATCCAATATTTGAGGCACCGCAGCCTCAGCAGGGTCATCCTCACTTTGTGCCACGATGTTTTCCTGGCTGAGGGATTTTCCCTCCCCCAGGACCTCACAGAAATGCTCAGCAAATCTGCGAACCTGTTCCTGGGGGTCGGAAATTGGATCACCGTTTTTTCCCCTAATGATGGTAATAGGTGTGGCGCTGCAGGTTACTTTTTTGATGGAGTTAAATAGCGATTTGTGATCACGGGCCACTGAGGCAGACTCCATCTCCTCAGCAACCCGCGACCACCACCCATCCTTGCAGCGCCTCACGGCTCTCCGAACCTCCGAGCGAAGGCTGCGGTAAGCCTCCTCATTCTCTGACGTGGGATTCTGTAGCCGATGACAGTGGGCCTGTCGCTTTTTCTCAACCATCCTGAACAACTCCTCTGTCATCCAGGGTGTCTGGGGAGGTCTGGACCGCGTACCCAAAGCAGCCATTGCAGCTGCATGAGTCACAGTCCTAAACCTCGCCCATTTACCCTCGACATCAGGAGGAGTCGGGGACGATGCCAATCCCAGCCGCAAGCGATGATGAAATTCTCGCTTGCAACTTTCATCAGATAACTGAGACCAGGCCACTTTAGGTTGGAATGGGGTCCTGGGTGTACACCCACCACCGGAGTGGAAGAATGGCAGGCGCATCTTACAGATGACTAGTCGATGGTCAGAGGGCAGATCAGCTCCACGGTAGGTCCTGGTGTCAAGGACATGGGCTCGCATTCGCTGGTCCGTCACTATGTAGTCCAGCAGATGTTCTTGCTTGGACCCGGCATGCATCCATGATGTTGTGTGGATGCGCCGATGCCGGAACAGCGTGTTGGTAATTACAAGCCCATGGGCTGCACAAAAATCTAGCAGCCTCCTACCGTTGTTATTGAGCTGATCTGGCCCATGCCCTCCAATCACTCCAGACCAGGTGCCAGTATCATGACCAACTCGGGCATTGAAGTCACCCAACATGATGACTCTATCCCGAGGGGCCACTTTAGCCAGCACCTGTGACAGGAGGTCATAGAAGGCATCTGACTCATCGGCTTTGCCTGCATCCCTCCACGGATGTTCATCTTCGGTGGGGGCATAAGTAACCACGACCACCATTCCTCGCCTCCGGTTGATGGGAAGGCGAGCCCAAAGTAGCCTGGGGCTTACAGCTTCCCACACCTCACCGCCACGCTCCCACGCCCCCTTCATTCTTTTGTTCAAAAGAAGACCCACACCCTGTTGTTTGGCAGTCTGCTGCCCCGAGTAGAGGACTGTCCACCCCTCATGGTGGCAGGAGCCAGAGCCGGTCCACCGGACCTCCTGAATGCCGCATAGATCCAGGCGGTACCGGTCCAGCTCCCGACAGAGGAGTGGCAGCCTCTCCTCTGCAGTGAGCGTTCGAACATTCCACGTGGCCACCCGTAGTGGCTTTTCGTTGTTTCTGGAGTAGCCCCGAGGGTAGGTATTCAATCTCCTGGCTCCGCCAATTGGGGTTTGGCCAGGAGACGTCATAGACGCCTGGCCCCCCGGGGCCTCCGGCACAAGCTTAGTTGTTACATATTTCACTTTAATTCGTGGTTTTGTGGTAATTAATTGAAGGTGGAGGGGTTACCAGCCCCTCGCACCCGTCCAGAGCCCCCGTTTAGCCCCTGTGGTGGACACATATGCCATGAGGGGAGGAGCCAATCAAAATTGGAACTCCCCCCACAGCACTGTCCACGACAGAGTTGCCCGTCCGGCACCGCGACACACACACAGACAACAACAACCGCCATTCGCCACTAAGTGGCGGTGACGTCACCACAACGCTTGTGCCAGGCCATGTGCACCTTGAGGCCACGTGAAGTGTCGAACGCCCGCTGACAGGAGGTCACGGGGCAGACCCAGATGCCACGGGTCGACTGAGATGACTGGCTGATGCACCACCTGTGCCCCCTACTGTGCCAACCCGCTGCGATTTAGCCACCCGGCGCTCCGCTCGTTGTTGTGAGCGTCGCTCCTCCGCCCTCCGTTGTTGTTGAAGGGCGACTGCCTCCAACTGCCCAGTAGCGTCCTTCACGAGCCTCCTCCACAGAGGCCGATCTTGACACCGCTGGAACCAGTCATCGGCAAATCCACTCAGCTCCACGTCCTCCTGTACCACATCACTCCATCCCTTCTCTAGCCCGTGCCGCGCTCGTTAAGCCCCCTAGATCCGGCTGAACAAAAGCTGTTTCGGCATGCGGTGGCTGGGCATGCGGGCTACATGACCCAGCCATCGCAGCCTTGCCTGCCGGAGGAGCTCACCGATGGGACCTTGCCCAGATCTTTCAAGGATTTGTGAGCTCCTCACACAATCCAGCATGGTTAAACCCAGGATGGATTGTAGGCAGGCTAGCCTAAATGTTCCAACCGGCGAAGATGTTCCATTAGGGGGGTCCACGTTTCGCAAGCGTAGAGAAGGGAGGGAATGACCGTGGCCGAGAAGACCTGAAGCTTAGTGCGGAGCGACAGACCAGGTAGCTTCCACACAGCGTTACGCAACCGATGAAAAGATATTGCCGCTCGACTGATTCGGAGTGAGACCTCTGCTGTTAAACTGGAGCCGGTCATAAGCACACTGCCCAGGTATGGGAAACTCTCCACTCTCTCCACAACTGCCCCATCACCGATTGAGAGTTGTGGAGGTGGAGTGTCCGATGGTACAAAATACCCAGGCAGGTGCTTAGTTTTGGTGGGGCTGATGGTAAGGCCCCACCTCTTAGTGGCACGCTCCAGTCTCAGCAGCAGCGTCTCCAACTCCTCCTCTGAATGAGCATTTATTACCAAATCATCAGCATACATAACGTGGTTGAGCAATAGGGAGCCATCCCTTGACCGCACCCGGGCATCGATCAGCCTCCCATTATATCTGTACCATATGTAGATTCCCCCGGTACAGCTATTGAAGGCTTCACGAACTACGTGGTCAAAATAGATGTTAAATAATGTGGGAGCCAGAGGACATCCCTGTCGCACCCCAAGGTGTACAGGGAATGGCTCTGACACTCACACAGACACACACAAAGATCAAAGATCCCCCATATAGCCTTAACAGACTGTAGGGGCAAGTGCCGTTAGCGAGCACCTATGAAGGCCGGAACGGTACACGAGGGGGTGGGTGGCCAGCACCACGCCCGGTCGCCTTATTCTCCCCAGTGGCGATGTTTACACACCGCACCAGGTACTCATTTGAGGCTGAGTCGACCTAGGGGAGGCTGGGACCGGTTCAGATAATCGTCACTGGTGTTGACCGTGAGCGGGAATCGAACCAGGGTCGCCAGGTTCATAGCGCAGCGCGATTGTTTTTCTTGTGGTGGTTGTTGTTGTTGCTGTGGTTGTCGTTGTTGCTACAGTGATTGTTGTTGCTTTGCTTGTTGTTGCTGTAGTGGTTGTTGTTGCAGTGGTTGTTGCTGTAGTGGTTGTTGTTGTGGTTGTTGTTGCTGTACTTGTTGTTGCTGTAGTGGTTGTTGTTGTGGTTGTTCTTGCTGTGGTTGTTGCTGTAGTGGTTGTTGTTGCAGTGGTTGTTGTTTCTGTGGTTGTTGTTTCTGTGGTTGTTGTTGCAGTCGTTATTGGTGTCATGGTTGTTGTTGTTGCTGTGGTTGTCGTTGTTGCTGTAGTGGTTGTTGTTGTGGTTGTTGTTGCTGTAGTTGTTGTTGCTTTGCTTGGTGTTGCTGTAGTGGTTGTTGCTGTGGTTGTTGCTGTGGTTGTTGCTGTGGTTGTTGTCACCTGTAGTAATGCTCCCATAGGTTGCGGTATCTGCCTTGTCCTGACATATCAAACACTGTGAGAGACAGACTGAGACACGGGGAGACATGGAGAGACACGGGGACACACGGGGAGACACGGAGAGACACGGGGAGACACGGAAACGACATGGAGAGACACGGAGAGACACGGGGAGACACGGAGGGACACGGAGAGACACAGAGACACACGGGGAGACACGGAGAGACACGGGGAGACACGGGGAGACACGGAGAGACACGGAGACACACGGAGAGACAAGGGGAGACACGGAGAGGAGACACGGAGAGGAGACACGGAGAGACACGGGGAGACATGGGGAGACACGGAGAGACACGGGGCGACACGGGGCGACACGGAGACACACGGGGAGACACGGAGAGACACGGAGACACACGGAGAGACACGGGGAGACACGGGGAGACACGGGGAGACACGGAGACATACGGGGAGACACAGAGACAACATGGAGAGACACGGGGAGACACGGAGACACGCAGCGACACACGGAGGGACACGGAGGGACACAGAGACACACGGGGAGACACGGCGAGACACGGAGAGACACGGAAAAGAAACGGGGACGTGGGGAGACAGTTAATCACTCAACACGGCCGCCATTCGCCACCAACTGACGGTGACGTCACCACGGCGCCTGTGCCAGGCTAGGTGCACCTTGAGGCAGTCAACGTGAAGTGTTGAAGGCTCTCGCTACTGACGAGTGCCATTGCACCTAGCCTGGCACAGCAGTCTAACCCATGGCACCTGCAGGATCTGTCCCGTAACCACCTCCTCATGCACCTAGCCTGGCACAGAAGTCTAACCCATGGCACCTGCAGGGTCTGTCCCGTGACCACCTCCTCGTGCACCTAGCCTGGCACAGCAGTCTAACCCATGGCACCTGCACGTGACCACCTCCTCATGCACCTAGCCTGGCACAGCATTACAACACGTGGCACCTGCTGAGTCTGTCACGTGACCGCCTCCTCGTGCACCTAGCCTGGCACAGCAGTCAAACCCATGGCATCTGCTGGGTCTGTCACGTGACCACATCCTCATGCACCTAGCCTGGCACAGCAGTCTAACCCATGGCACCTGCAGGATCTGTCCCTGTGACCACCTCCTCATGCACCTAGCCTGGCACAGGAGTCTAACCCATGGCACCTGCAGGGTCTGTCACGTGACCACCTCCTCATGCACCTAGCCTGGCACAGCAGCAGCACAACACGTGGCACCTGCTGGGTCTGTGACGTGACCACATCCTCATGCACCTAGCCTGGCACAGCAGTCAAACCCATGGCATCTGCTGGGTCTGTCACGTGACCTCCTCATGCACCTAGCCTGGCACAGCGGTACAACACGTGGCACCTGCTGGGTCTGTCACGTGACCACCTCCTCGTGCACCTAGCCTGGCACTAACTGGGGGTGTTGCTCTACCTTGCTGTTGTGAATTTCTCGACGCTGAATCCGATGGTAGGGACGATGTCCTGGGACTGAGCCTGTCAACAACAACAACAACAACCACATGTCAATAACAACCACATGTCAACAACAACCACATGTCAACAACAACAACCACCACATGTCAACAACAACAACCACCACATGTCAACAACAACAACCACCACATGTCAACAACAACAACAACCACATGTCAACAACCACCACATGTCAACAACAACAACAACCACATGTCAACAACAACAACCACATGTCAACAACAACAACCACATGTCAACAACAACCACGTGTCAACAACAACAACCACGTGTCAACAACAACAACCACATGTCAACAACAACCACATGTCAACAACAACCACATGTCAACAACAACAACAACAACAACCACATGTCAACAACAACAACCACGTCAACAACAACAACCACATGTCAACAACAACCACGTCAACAACAACAACAACCACATGTCAACAACAACAACCACGTCAACAACAACAACCACGTCAACAACAACCACATGTCAACAACAACCACATGTCAACAACCACCACATGTCAACAACAACAACCACGTCAACAACAACCACATGTCAACAACAACCACGTCAACAACAACCACGTCAACAACAACCACATGTCAACAACAACCACATGTCAACAACAACCACGTCAACAACAACCACATGTCAACAACAACCACCACATGTCAACAACCACAATCACATATCAACAACAACCACATGTCAACAACAACCACAACCACGTCAACAACCACATGTCAACAACAACCACAAATCAACAACCACAATCACATATCAACAACAACCACATCAACACGATAGTCTAGCAGTAGATAGAGACTGTCTAGTGTAGTAGTGTAGTAGGTAGTGTAGTAGTGTAGTGTAGTAGGTAGTGTAGTAGGTAATGTAGTAGTGTAGTAGGTAGTGTAGTAGGTAGTGTAGTAGTGTAGTAGGTAGTGTAGTAGTGTAGTAGGTAATGTAGTAGTTGAGTAGGTAATGGAGTAGTGTAGTAGGTAGTGTAGTAGTGTAGTAGGTAGTATAGTAGTGTAGTAGGTAGTGTAGTAGGTAGTGTAGTAGTGTAGTAGGTAGTGTAGTAGTGTAGTAGGTAATGTAGTAGTTGAGTAGGTAGTGGAGTAGTGTAGTAGGTAGTGTAGTAGTGTAGTAGGTAGTATAGTAGTGTAGTAGGTAGTGTAGTAGGTAGTGTATTAGTGTAGTAAGTAGTGTAGTAGTGTAGTAGGTAGTGTAGTAGTTGAGTAGGTAGTGTGGTAGTGTAGTAGGTAGTATAGTAGTGTAGTAGGTAGTGTATTAGTGTAGTAGGTAGTGTATTAGTGTAGTAGGTAGTGTAGTAGTTGAGTAGGTAGTGTAGTAGGTAGTGTAGTAGTGTAGTAGGTAGTGTAGTAGGTAGTGTAGTAATGTAGTAGGTTGTGTAGTAGGTAGTGTAGTAGTGTAGTAGGTAGTGTAGTAGGTAGTGTAGTAGCTAGTGTAGTAGGTAGTGTAGTAGGTAGTGTAGTAGTGTAGTAGGTAGTGTAGTAGGTAGTGTAGTAGGTAGTGTACCAGGTAGTGTAGTAGGTAGTGTAGTAGGTAGTGTAGTAGTGTAGTAGGTAGTGTAGTAGTGTAGTAGGTAGTGTAGTAGGTAGTGTAGTAGGTAGTGTAGTAGTGTAGTAGGTAGTGCACTAGGTAGTGTGTAGTGTAGTAGGTAGTGTAGTAGTGTAGTAGGTAGTGTAGTAGGTAGTGTAGTAGTGTAGTAGGTAGTGTAGTAGTGTAGTAGGTAGTGTAGTAGGTAGTGTAGTAGTGTAGTAGGTAGTGTAGTAGGTAGTGTAGTAGTGTAGTAGGTAGTGTAGTAGTTAGTGTGGTAGTGTAATAGGTAGTGTAGTAGGTAGTGTAGTAGGTAGTGTAGTAGTGTAGTAGTGTAGTAGGTAGTGTAGTAGGTAGTGTAGTAGGTAGTGTAGTAGGTAGTGTAGTGGTGTAGTAGGTAGTGTAGTAGGTAGTGTAGTAGGTAGTGTAGTAGGTAGTGTAGTAGTGTAGCAGGTAGTGTAGTAGGTAGTGTAGTAGGTAGTGTAGTAGTGTAGTAGGTAGTGTAGTAGTGTAGTAGGTAGTGTAGTAGGTAGTGTAGTAGTGTAGCAGGTAGTGTAGTAGGTAGTGTAGTAGGTAGTGTAGTAGGTAGTGTAGTAGTGTAGTAGGTAGTGTAGTAGGTAGTGTAGTAGGTAGTGTAGCAGGTAGTGTAGTAGGGGACTCACGCTGGCTGGCTTGAGGTGGTTCACGATCGTCGTCTTTCCGCTGTTGTCGAGCCCCACGCACAAAACCTGCAGCTCCCTCCGCCTCACGCCCAGCCAGGAGGCCAGCCGCTCCAGCAGGCGCATAGCCGTCACTCACCTCGTCACTCACCACTCACCTCGTCACTCACCACTCACCTCGTCACTCACTCACCACGTCACTCACTCACCACGTCACTCACCTCGTCACTCACCTCGTCACTCACCACTCACCTCGTCACTCACCTCGTCACTCACCACTCACCTCGTCACTCACCACGTCACTCACCTCGACACTCACCACTCACCTCGTCACTCACTAATCACCTCGTCACTCACCTCGTCACTCACTACTCACTCACCTCTCACCTCGTCACTCACCTCGTCACTCACCACTCACTCACCTCGTCACTCACCACTCACCTCGTCACTCACCTCTCACCTCGTCACTCACCTCGTCACTCACCACTCACCTCGTCACTCACTCACCTCGTCACTCACCTCGTCACTCACCACTCACCTCGTCACTCACTACTCACCACTCACCTCGTCACTCACCTCTCACCTCGTCACTCACTACTCACTCACCTCGTCACTCACCACTCACCTCGTCACTCACCTCGTCACCCACCACTCACCTCGTCACTCACCACTCACCTCGTCCTCCTCCCCCTCCCACGTCAACAACAGCAGCAGGGAGCGTTGGAGTTGGCGCCTTCTCCTCCTTCCCCCCACCTAACCTCGTCCACCTCGTCAACAACAACAGCAGCAGGGAGCGATGGAGTTGGCGCCTTCTCCTCCCTCCCCCCACCTAACCTCGTCCACCTCGTCAACAACAACAACAGCAGCAGGGAGCGTTGGAGTTGGCGCCTTCTCCTCCCTCCCCCCACCTAACCTCGTCCACCTCTTCAGCAGCAGCAGCAGCAGGCGGGCAGTTTCGTGGGGTGCGAGGCGGCAGGGGATGGAGAGCGATGGCGAGCGATGGAGTTGGCGCCTTTTCCTCTCCGCTCGGCTTCAGCGATGGCGGCGCGTGGGGGGCCGTCTCCGTGGCAACGGCTCGCGGGCGGAGGGGAGGGGGCGCTGGGGGGGTGTGGTGACGTCAGCGCGCTCGGTGGCCTGACGTCATCACGCACGACGCCTTCACTTGCCTGCGAGCGATCGGCGCGCACGCGGCTTCGTGACGTCACCGAACCCCCCCCCCCCGCGCGGCGCCGTGACGTCACGTCGCTAAAAATTAATTACTTGTCCCAGCCTCGTCGTCACGTGTCCCAGTCCCTCGTCACGTGTCCCAGTCCCTCGTCACGTGTCCCAGTCTCTCCCCCACGTGTCCCAGTCTCTCCCCCACGTGTCCCAGTCTCTCGTCACGTGTCCGAGTCCCTCCCCCACGTCTCACAGTCACTCCCCCACGTGTCCCAGCCTCTCCCCCACGTGTCCTAGTCTCTCGTCACGTGTCCCAGTCTCTCCCCCACGTGTCCCAGTCCCTCCCCCACGTGTCCAAGTCCCTCGTCACGTGTCCCAGTCTCTCCCTCACGTGTCCCAGTCTCTCGTCACGTGTCCCAGTCCCTCCCCCACGTGTCCCAGTCCCTCCCCCACGTGTCCCAGTCTCTCGTCACGTGTCCCAGTCCCACGTCACGTGTCCCAGTCTCTCGTCACGTGTCCCAGTCCCTCCCCACGTGTCCCAGTCTCTCGTCACGTGTCTCAGTCTCTCGTCACGTGTCCCAGCCCCTCGTCACGTGTCCCAGTCTCTCCCCCACGTGTCCCAGTCCCTCGTCACGTGTCCCAGTCCCTCGTCACGTGTCCCAGTCCCTCGTCACGTGTCCTAGTCTCTCGTCACGTGTCCAAGTATCTCCCCACGTGTCCCAGTCTCTCGTCACGTGTCCCAGTCCCTCGTCACGTGTCCCAGTCTCTCGTCACGTCTCCCAGTCCTTCGTCACGTGTCCTAGTCTCTCGTCACGTGTCCCAGTCTCTCGTCACGTGTCCCAGTCTCTCCCCTACGTGTCCCAGTCTCTCGTCACGTGTCCCAGCCTCTCCCCCACGTGTCCCAGCCTCTCCCCCACGTGTCCCAGTCTCACGTCACGTGTCCCAGTCCCTCCCCCGTGTCCCAGTCCCTCGTCACGTGTCCCAGTCCCACGTCACGTGTCCCAGTCTCTCGTCACGTGTCCCAGTCCCTCGTCACGTGTCTCAGTCTCTCGTCACGTGTCCCAGTCTCTCGTCACGTGTCCCAGTCTCTCGTCACGTCTCCCAGTCCCTCGTCACGTGTCCCAGTCTCTTGTCACGTGTCCCAGTCTCTCGTCACGTGTCCCAGTCTCTCGTCACGTGTCCCAGTCTCTCCCCTACGTGTCCCAGTCTCTCGTCACGTGTCCCAGTCTCTCGTCACGTGTCCCAGTCCCTCCCCCACGTGTCCCAGTCTCTCGTCACGTGTCCCAGTCCCACGTCACGTGTCCCAGTCTCTCGTCACGTGTCCCAGTCCCTCCCCACGTGTCCCAGTCTCTCGTCACGTGTCTCAGTCTCTCGTCACGTGTCCCAGCCCCTCGTCACGTGTCCCAGTCTCTCCCCCACGTGTCCCAGTCCCTCGTCACGTGTCCCAGTCCCTCGTCACGTGTCCCAGTCCCTCGTCACGTGTCCTAGTCTCTCGTCACGTGTCCAAGTCTCTCCCCACGTGTCCCAGTCTCTCGTCACGTGTCCCAGTCTCTCGTCACGTGTCCCAGTCCCTCGTCACGTGTCCCAGTCTCTCGTCACGTCTCCCAGTCCCTCGTCACGTGTCCCAGTCTCTCGTCACGTGTCCCAGTCTCTCGTCACGTGTCCCTGTCTCTCCCCTACGTGTCCCAGTCTCTCGTCACGTGTCCCAGCCTCTCCCCCACGTGTCCCAGCCTCTCCCCCACGTGTCCCAGTCTCACGTCACGTGTCCCAGTCCCTCCCCCTTGTCCCAGTCCCTCGTCACGTGTCCCAGTCCCACGTCACGTGTCCCAGTCTCTCGTCACGTGTCCCAGTCCCTCGTCACGTGTCTCAGTCTCTCGTCACGTGTCCCAGTCCCTCGTCACGTGTCCCAGTCTCTCGTCACGTGTCCCAGTCTCTCGTCACGTCTCCCAGTCCCTCGTCACGTGTCCCAGTCTCTCGTCACGTGTCCCAGTCTCTCGTCACGTGTCCCAGTCTCTCGTCACGTGTCCCAGTCTCTCCCCTACGTGTCCCAGTCTCTCGTCACGTGTCCCAGTCTCTCGTCACGTGTTCCAGTCCCTTCCCCACGTGTCCCAGTCCCTCGTCACGTGTCCCAGTCTCTCGTCACGTGTCCCAGTCTCTCGTCACGTGTCCCAGTCTCTCGTCACGTGTCCCAGTCTCTCGTCACGTGTCCCAGTCCCTCCCCACGTGTCCCAGCCCCTCGTCACGTGTCCCAGTATCTCGTCACGTGTCCCAGTCCCTCCCCACGTGTCCCAGTCTCTCGTCACGTGTCCCAGTCTCTCGTCACGTGTCCCAGTCTCTCGTCACGTGTCCCAGTCTCTCGTCACGTGTCCCAGTCCCTCCCCCACGCGTCTCAGTCTCTCGTCACGTGTCCCAGTCCCTCCCCACGTGTCCCAGTCTCTCGTCACGTGTCCCAGTCCCTCCCCACGTGTCCCAGTCCCTCCCCACGTGTCCCAGTCTCTCGTCACGTGTCCCAGTCTCTCGTCACGTGTCCCAGTCTCTCCCCCACCTGTCCCAGTCCTTCATCACGTGTCCCAGTCCCTCGTCACGTGTCCCAGTCTCTCCCCCCCGTGTCCCAGTCCCTCGTCACGTGTCTCAGTCTCTCGTCACGTGTCCCAGTCTCTCCCCCACGTGTCCCAGTCTCTCGTCACGTGTCCCAGTCTCTCCCCCACGTGTCCCAGTCTCTCGTCACGTGTCCCAGTCTCTCGTCACGTGTCCCAGTCCCTCGTCACGTGTCCCAGTCCCTCGTCACGTGTCCCAGTCTCTCCCCCACGTGTCCCAGCCCCTCGTCACGTGTCCCAGTCCCTCGTCACGTGTCCCAGTCTCTCCCCACGTGTCCCAGTCCCTCGTCACGTGTCCCAGTCCCTCGTCACGTGTCCCAGTCTCTCCCCCACGTGTCCCAGTCTCTCGTCACGTGTCCCAGTCTCTCCCCCACGTGTCCCAGTCTCTCGTCACGTGTCCCAGTCCCTCGTCACGTGTCCCAGTCTCTCCCCACGTGTCCCAGTCCCTCGTCACGTGTCCCAGTCCCTCGTCACGTGTCCCAGTCTCTCCCCCACGTGTCCCAGTCTCTCGTCACGTGTCCCAGTCCCTCGTCACGTGTCCCAGTCTCTCGTCACGTGTCCCAGTCTCTCCCCCACGTGTCCCAGTCTCTCGTCACGTGTCCCAGTCCCTCGTCACGTGTCCCAGTCACTACCCCACAACCCTACCAGGCCTTTGCGTCGGCTCAGGCCAGGGGTTGGAGGGCCGACGATCGCCCGCGACAACGCGGCTCGCGGCAGCGGGGACGCACAGTCCTCGTCGCCTGCTCCAGCTGCGGTCTACGGAGACGCGCGTCTTCGGGCTGCCTGGCACCTCGACGTCAGGTCTCCGGGCCACGGCCTCCGGCTCCCCGATCACCCTCGGCGGACTCGGGCGAGTCGAGGCACCGCACACTGGGCCCTTGCTCTCACCTCGTGCACCTCGTCACGTCGCACATTCGCCGCGCATCGGGTGAAGGGGGGCCCGGAATGTCTCGAGACCGACTGGGCGCTCCGACCGGTTCAGCGGTCGGAGTTGGCCCATAGAGTTGTTGCTGCTGCCGCGGGGCCTCAGTCATTATTGGATCCATCGAGGGGGAGGGTCGCTTTTCGAACGCCGGTCGACACAGGGGCATCGGCAACCATCATTTCGGAACTTATTTACAATATTTTACCTACGAAATGCCGCTCCCTGTATCCGACTGACGTGCCATGTTTCGCCGCGAACAGAGGGTCGTTGGGCATAGTTGGCCAGATTAATGCCCAGATTCGTATCGGTGACGTGAAATTGACACGGCCCCCCATTCTAGTTTCCTCGTCCCTCGCCGTTCCGTGCTTGCTGGGAACAGATTTCTTGGGTAAAATGCCTATCAAAATTCTCATCGACCAGGGCTGCATCGAACTCCCCTCCGGCTGGCATTCCTGCCTTGCCTGCCCCCACTCGGTTGAGCACGGCCTGGGCTACCGTTCAGGCGTTGGCGTCCCGAACGGTGCGCATTCCTCCGGGTGCGTAGATGTTGGTTCCCCTTTCGGCTACGGAAACCTCTCGATTTCGGGGGCGACGGCGGGGGGTGTCCTGCCGGGTCCTTCAAACACTGTGGTTCGGGGGTTGGAGCTGGTCGGAGCACAGACTCTGGTGTCTTGCGACGGGGATCCATTCATCCAGGTCTTGAATGCCGGGTTGCGAACGACCGTCATACCGCAGGGTACCACCGCGCTCGCTCAGGCGATGCCAGCGCTCCAGGGGGATTCGGCCGCAGGCCACGTCGGAGCTGCGCCTCGGTCGCAACCGCGCTCGGACAAGGCCTG